TTGACGATCCTATCAAAGTGGCCAAATGGTAGCTATTTTGTGCTAAAAAATCCTCAAATATCAAGCATTTCTTGCATTTATTAATGGATTTTGTTCAAACGTATAACATACATTAGATATTACATGTTCCTGTTCCTGATGCATGCCATTTTATTTTTCAGATTGGATTCAAAATATCTGACTGGCGGCCATTTTGTTTTAAGGATTGGGCTTCTAGAGCCATATCTCTTAAATGCTTTGACTGATTATATTCAAATTTTATATATTCGTTATACATCATGTTATATATATATGTATTCAAAATGGCTGATTTTGAATGCTGTTCCAGAGCAATATCTCTCAATGTGGACAAGTATTTGCTTGACGATCAGATACAAATGTCAATCATTTTAATGTCATATTCCTGACATGGTTATATTCCAGCTATATTACTATAAACAAAACTATATATCTTAAATTTGATAATTAACGGGGACTGTGCCTTGCCATGCATGGCTTGTTATTTATGATACGAACAGGACAAATACTTCTTTGTGTCTATATGGTACTGGGCGCCAGTATTTCTCCGACAAATTCAGCTATATGCTGATCAGTTTAGTACAGTGGCTAACTCCAATGCCTTGTCTGAAATAGAAACTGGCAGCTATTGGTCAGATAAGCGTTGACATTTTTTTTCTCAGACTGAAAAAGTAATTATAAGAACAGGACATTTTAATTATTTACACAGTTGATGATTTGCAAATGCCACCAATCAGCCTAAGATGGACAAACTTCACAGATAGAGGGCCGTAGTGATGTCTAACTGAAATATTTTATGACGACAGACTTTCTTAATTACGACAGACTTCCTTAATTATGATGTCCTGTCCCCCGGGGATCATGGTGACAAGGTAAATGATTTGTATATTCCAATGACTGAAACAGAAAACAAGGTTATTGTCATCTTGAATTTTCAAGGTGAATGTTCCGGCAAAACATTCCGCTATTACCTTGAAGTATTTCATTAGAACTGTGTGTATGTATATGACAGTGAACTCGCAGTTTAGAATCAGTTTACCAACAGCCAATCAGATTGCTTCTTTTATCAAAACGCTTGGCCAAGCTACCAAAACAAATATGGCTAGGCACAGTAAACGCTGTTTTGGCTTGGATTTTGAGGCAGTACAGCGACGATATTGAGACATCATATAACTCATAGATATTCAAGCTATACTTAATTCGGGGTCTTAGTGGTAAATCATTATGTTATTATGTTTATAACGGCTGTGCGTTCATCGAGCGTGGTAATAGTGTTGTTAGACAACAGAAAGGCAAAATTACAAGTGCTTTTTGGCAGTCATTTTGTAAGAAAGCTTTCTTTTGGACATTACATTTTCTATCGCGCAACCACGTGACATACACATGTGAAAGAGAAGTATGTGAATTTCTATATAAATAGCTCCACTTACTTTTCTATGAATCGTTTAACAGCAACAATGTGCTTGTTTTTAAACAGCTTTTTAGACTTTACCGATTCGACCTTCTTCTATCAGTTCTTTAATTTTCAATTCTTCACTTCCTATGATCTTGAGCTCATCACTTGGTTAATCGATTTTTCTATTGTGCTCTGAAGCAATCGTGAATAAATGACATGCATATATGTTAATTACATTGTAAGTTTGTATTCACTATCCCAGTGTATCTATCTAGTGGTTAGATACTGATCAATATTATTTGATACTGATCAAGGTTATTATTTCTGGGAATCACAATATTCAACAAGATCACGAACACTGAATATGCTGAACACAAATAAGGGCATTTCAATTTTGCATGTATTACTCACCATTAAGGATGGGTGTAGCGAACATACATTTGACTAAACGTTTGGAAACTACTTCCTGTTTTTATTTATGACAGAATAAAAAATTGAAACATACTGTAGATTATTTATTTTAGCTGGAAATCATTTTTTGTCTGCATAAGTAACACATATTCACTGAATAAGATGGCATCTCAGATGGCACCATGAACCCCTGTATGGAGTATACCTGAGAGACTAGATAGCTCCACTGTTAACATGCACATCTCAGTTGAAACATTGACAATAAATCTGAGAGAGGTCCACCTGTAGTAATTATAGGTATAATATCAAAGCAATCGGATTTTTTTACAAAATAATTCTACCAAAATTAGAGAATTAAAGATCATCAAGAAATGAACAAATCTAAGAGAAGTCTATCCAAGGTACATGAACACCAAGATCAAATCAATCAGGCTTGCAGTTAAACAAACAAGCTCCGCTTGACAAAGTCGACAGCGCAGCTAAAATTCCGAATAATTTATGACTGATGACACATGTAGCGTAACATTAACTCACTTATTTTGAAATATCTAAACTCTGAGTATCATTCTCTTTCTGATGTGTTTTTGTTCATTTGTTTGTTTTTCGTTCGTTTGGTCGTTTTAAAGGAATGCAATGTACTTGTAGATTGACGATTTGTCAGTCCGTTTTACTCCGTTTTCATGAATTAGTTAAATAACTGTAAATTTTCAGATCGTTTGGGTATGTTTTTGACCTACTCAACATGCAAATTTGCGGGTAGAATAGTAAAATAATATTTTCAAGCTCAAATAATGTAAAAATTAGGATTCAACCAAAGGTTTGAATGTATCAAGTAAAACTAGGAAATTGGAATTTCATGATTAGTCAATTATTTTGAACACCAATCAATGAATTAAATAAAATAACGTAACCGGTAATAAATAATAAGATATAACCGTTTTCTCATTCTTCTGGAAATCATCTAGTTTATCCCTAAACTTCTAAATCCAGAATCTAATCCATCTCCTCCTTTTCAGACCTG